AAAGAAAGAATATCTGAACTTGCAGGCAGGAATTTTGATATAACTCAGTCTGAGGAAAAAAGAATGAAAAACAAACAAACAAACAAAAAGAAAGCCTATGCAGCTTATGCCATATCATTAAGAGAACAAATGTTGGCATTATGGGCAATAAAGAGAAAAAAGAGATGGAGAGAGACACAGAAAGCTCATTTAACAAAATAATAGTTGAAAACCTCCCAATGCTTGAGAGAAATAGCACATCCAGACCCATGAAGATTAAAGGGTCCCATACACAGATAACTCAAAAAGGTCCCTTCATTTTTTTATTTTTTTATTTTTTATTTTATCTTTCTTTATTTTAAAGATGTGGGGCACAATTCAGGGTTAGGAATACAAATGTTCATTATGCAGGGTACACTTGTTGATGAGGTGTGTCCCTCTCTCCCCTGGCAGTTTCCCACTACTGCCCGTCTGTAAAAAGGTCCTTTATAAGATTCATTTTAGTGCATTTCTCAAAAGTCTAATACAAAGTAAAACTTCTACAATAAGCAAGAGAAAAGTGTCAAATCACATATATGTGAATCTCCATTAGATTATCAGCAGATTTCACAGCAGAAACCTTGAAGACTTGGAGAGGTTAGAATGATATATTCAAAGTTACAGAACAAAATTGCCAGCCAAGAATACTACATCCAGTACAGCCATCCACCAGAAGAAGAAATTAAGTCTTTCCCAGACAAGTAAATGCTGAGAGGTTTATTATTACAAGATTGGTCTTACAAAAAATGTTTAAGGGAGTGCTTCTGGTGAAAGAACAATAACAACTAATATGAAAATAGGAGACTAGGCCGGGCACAGTGGTTCATGCCTATAATTCCAGGACCTTGAGAGGCCAAGGCGGGAATATTGCTTGACTCTAGAGAGTTCAAGACCAGCCTGGACAGCATTGCGGGACCTCATATCCACGAAAACAAATAAAATAAAATAAATTAGCTGGACATGGTAACACATACCTACTTGGAAGTTTGACATGGGAGGATCACTTGATGGGATGGAAGACTGTAAATCTCACAAAGAGATAAATTCATAAGGAAATTCAAAATAGTTCATTACTAAAATGGTGCTTTAGAATCTTCCAAATCATGAATAGGAAATTTAAATATCAAAATAGTCAACAATAGTTATATCTACAATGAGATTTTAAGAAATCAATGTAAAAAACCTAAATTAAAGAAGTAAAATTATAAATTTTGTGTAGGGGCCTTGTGGGAAGTCTAGCATATTTGCATGTGACCAAAGCTTTTTATCAGCTTAAAATAGCATATTTCAGGCCAGGCTCGGTGGCTCAGCTTGTCAATCCAGTACTTTGGGAGGCCAAGGTGAGTGGATTGCCTGAACCAACATGTTGGAGCCCAGCCCTAGCAACTTGGCGAGACCTCATCTCTACAACAAATAAAAAATTAGCCAGGCATGGTAGGGTGCGCCTATAGTTCTGGCTACTTGGGAGGCTGAGGCGGAAGGATTGCCGGAGCCCAGCAGGTTGACACTGGGGTGGTTGTGAGTGTACCACTGGTACTCCAACCTGGGCGACAGAGTGAGACCCCAATTAAAAAAAAAGTCTATTACAACCCCAATTAAAAAAAAAGTCTATTTTAATGTAGGCCTAAGATTAACCACAAAGAAAACATTACACCAGATAGCCAAATTTTTAAAAAGGAAGAAATCAACACTTATCTGTACAGAAAACTACCAAGCCATATAGGGAAACAATAAGACAGAAAGAAAGAAATGCTTTCCTCTAGAAGGAATGATTATCATCAAAATAACACGTATTGGCCAGGATGTGGAAAAAAGGCAGGCCTTACACACTGTTAGCTAAAATGTAATACGGTACAGCCATTGTAGAAAACAGTATGGAGGTTACTCAAAACATTAAAAATACAACTTTATGATCTAGCAATTCAACTACTGAGTACATATTCAAATGAAATGAACTCAAAATACCAAAGAGCTATCTGTATGCCTATGTTTTTGCAGCACTATTCATAATAGCCAACAATTGGATTCAACCAAAGTGTCCACCGATGCATAATTGGATTTAAAATGTGGTATATAGCTCTTTGGTCATACAAATGAAAACTTGTCATCTGCAACAAGATGGATGAACTTGGAAGACATTCTGTGAAGTGAAATAAGCCAGACACAGAAAGACAAATAAGGCATGATCTCACTCATATTTGGAATTGAAAGGGTTGATCTGACAGAAGTAGAGAATAAAACAGTGGTTGCCAGAGACTGGAAAGGGAGGGGCGAGGAAGAAATGGGGAGAGATTGGTCAATGGGTACAAAGATATAATTAGACAGGAAGAGTAAGTCTTGGTATCTTGTTGTACAGCTGAGTGACTACAGTCAACAATAATGCATTGCTTGTTTCTAAGTAGCTAGGAGAGAAGATATGGAATGAATGTTCTCACTACAAACAAGTGATAAATGTTGTAGGCGGTGGTATACTAATTGCTTAATTTGTTCATTAAGCACTGTATAAATGTTTTGAAACTTCACATTGTATTCTACACATATGTATGGCTATTATGCATCAATAAAAATATAAAGAAGACCTCCCCTAATAAATGTTATTCCCCAAAAGCAGGCTGCAATGTATATTTTAAGAAACACTGATTAGTGTCATCATGATAATTATGAAAGCATTGGAAGTCAAACAACTGAAAGAACTCACCTCTGGCAGTGGTGCTGGGAAAGCAGGAGAATGTGAGGACTATCATTTTTATCCTGTGCTCTTTGCTTCAAATTCATTGTTATTACGTGGATTCAGGGAAACCACAAGATTAACCAAGAGGAAAGGCCTTTAATTCTCATATCTGGGTCATGTTACTTCTGTTGTATTTTTCACACCCTGATTCCATTCCCTGGGGGAGGAGGTTGCCCCTGGACTGGGGATCCAGCAGCTGCCCCTCACCTGTTCCTGATCTCTTTTGGGAACAATGTGTCTTTGTTAAACCCAACTCAGCTGGTCAAGGGACATTCACCATATCAGCGTGTTTGGACATGCGAATTACAAAAATTTTGAAATGTCATACTGGAGAAGGGGGAACAGATCATCTGGTGATACTTTTCCCTGTTTACTTATTTACGACTAGGGATGATGGTGTACCTTCAATTCGGTGTCTACAGCTCATCAGTTTGGAATACATATACACTTACATTACCCAGTGTTTATGTTGTGGGAAGTCCAGACCTCGGAGAAGCTGGTCAGAGGCTCTGATCAACAGCCCGAGCTGAACACGCAGCTGAAACCACCATCTGCAGCCAGGAGCTCTTGGGGTGTCCCGTCCGGTCAAACCTACGGGTGTCTCCAACATAGACAGACACCTCCATGGGAACACCATGAAGTAGAGTCCAGACAGAAACTATAAAATGGTTCTCCCATGCTGCTGGCTTCGAGTTGTCTGTTTTATGGGAACAGATGACTGAAGAGTCTCTTCACAGCATTCTCCAGTGGTTCTCTCATCGTAAAGCCCACCTCTCTGTCAGCTGCATCCCACAGCATCTGGTCCTAGTCTCTTCTACAAAGTCTCAAATCTCGAGTCTGGTCTTAAGGGAGCTGACACACTGGTCTCTGCTAAGATGCTTCTCCTCATCTTCCTTTCTTGACTGGCTGCTCTGGCTGATTTCTGCTCTCCCTTCTTCCTGGAAGCCCTCCCTGACCACCTCACTCTCCCTTACAGCTCCAGCTCGAGGTCGGGGCCTGTCTCTCCCACAAGGGTTATGTCCAGTACATAGTGGGTGCTGCATGAATTCTACTTGTATCAAATCTAGGTCCCAACTGGCACAAGAGATTTAGCTTGGGAGTCTCCCAAATCTTCTTGCTGCCACATTGGGTGTGTTTATTATAAAACCCAAACGTTTGTCATTTTAGGTTCAGTTTAAGTTTTGACTCTACTAGGAAACGGTACATGGAGTTCAACGTGGCACATGGTCCAGTTCAGATGGACATGGCTTTGTGGGCTGAGGTACCACTGTCCACCTGGTTTCCCTCCTTTGGGATTATGGAGTCTATCACTATTTGCTTCCACCTATTCTTTATATTTTCACAAGTGGGAATGGAAGACAAAAACTCTCAGGTAAGCCGGGCACAGTGGCTCAAGTCTGTAATCCCAGCACTTTGGGAGGCAGAGGCGAGAGGATTGCTGAAGCTCAGGGGTTCGAGACCCAACCTGAGCAACATGGTGAGACCTTGTCTCCGCAATAAATCTCCCCCCTTCCCCAAAAATTGGCTGGGCATCATGGCACATGTCTGTGTCTCCAGTTACTTGGAAGGCTGAGGTGGAGGCCTCTAGCCTGGGTGACAGAGTGAGACTTCAACTCAAAAAATAAAAACAAAAACAAAAAAACTCACAGGTGAAGAAGCTATGTGCTTTTTTAGCCCATACAATGTAAGAAGTTTTTTCCTATTTTAAAAATTTATTCTGGGATTAGATAGCTTGGTCTAAATGGGCCTGCGGACTGTCATTTGCCTGCGGACTGTCATTTCTGATTCTTTCACCTGTCTTTCACCTTCCAGGGTCAGAGTACCACTTTATAGCCCAGCCTCAAACCCTGGAGTTTATCCCTATACCCTTGAGGACCCAGAGACAAACAGCCTTGGGTATGCACTGGTGTCCTTTCCCATCTCAACTGCAAAGCACCCACAGGTTCTTCCAAAGCAGTTGGGGAAGACACCTCAGAAATTGGCCTTGAGACCTTTGACCCCTAAGTTCACTGGGTTGCAAACACCTCAGGTGAGATGAACGTGATCTCTAAGGCCCAGTTGCAGCATTAACATCATAGGTATGTCTGGTCACTTTTTTTCATTTGACGCATATCTGTAACCCAAAGAGCCAGAGGCCACCCACCCCCTCTTGCTCTCAGTGAAACACAGACACAGCAGTTATGTCTTAGAGCCCAATTATGTACCTGACACACAAAAAGTCAGTATGGCAGAACAAAAGAATCCGCAGCAGTATATTTGAAATCAAGTTTATTTAAAGAGGTAAAACATTGTTCGTCCTTTAAAATCTGAAATTCAAAATAAGTGAATCAATAATTCCTGGGAGATTATGGTAGTAAATGAAATAGTGGTAATATTGACCAGTGTGAAAATGTCACAGACTTCAGATCACAACTTGTGTCTTCAACGAGTCAAGTGCGTATCCCACACAATACAGGCTGGTGAGATTTCAGATAAATTCCTTCCCTGGATGGCTATGCCCGGTCGAATCCTTCCTCCGCCCTATCAATCAGCTTACACGGTGGGGTAGCTGGCCGCTGAGGCGATTCCACAGTTGTTCTTCCGGTCTCTGGCTATCATTATGTAGCCATCTTTGCCCCATTCAGTACCCCAGCTGAAAGGAGAGCAGGTTTTTTGTTTCACAGAAAGAATAGAGAACATGGGTTATTAACAGAAACACCCAATGTAAACAGTGTACCCGAGGCCACAGACTTAATAGAAAGGATCAGGGAAGGCAGATGTTCTTGTTCAACCTTTATGAATTTTTTTTTTTTGAGTTGGAGTCTCTCTCTGTTGCCCAGGCTTGAATGCAGTGGCACACTCACAGTCACCCCAGCCTTGACCCGCTGGGCTCAGGCGATCCTTCCGTCTTAGCCTTCCAAGTAGCCGGAACTACAGACGCGCACTACCACACCGGGCCAATTTATTGTAGAGAGGCAGTCTCACCAATTTGCCCGGGCTGGTCTCGAGCCCACAGGCTCAGGTAATCAATTCGCCTTGGTCTCCCAAATTGCTGGGATCACAGGCAGAGCCACCGAGCCGAGCCCCTTTATAAATTGAGGCTAAACCTGCACACAACTTCTATCCCAGACCAAAACTGTTACCTTTCACAGAACTGCACAATCAGAGACAGAAAAAGGACGGATATCTTTCCAGCCAGAATTATTCAGAATTGAAGCATTTCAGAATTTAGAAATGTCAAATACATATTCTCCATGTAACCCCCAGCGTGCTTGTGAGAGTATCTTAATCTAATAACCAAAAATTAACATGCTTTCTTCAGTCTAGTGGAATAAAGAATTCTGGGATTTCAGAAGTGTGCTGAAGGGGGATTGTGGAAATGTACTGGCTGGAAGTAAGAATGCCCTTTTGGATGTCAAATATAAGCATTTTTGGTCATTTATACCTGTTCTTCACAATCCAATATTTGTTTTCATCTGATTCTGTTCCTTCAAAGCCATAACCAACCACCAGAACAGCGTGATTCAAATTTTCCGAGCTGCAGTCTGGCTCATAATAAACACCTAGGATAATGAAAGGTATACTGGGGTGATAAGCTCTGGGGACACCTGACAGTAACACACCCTGTAAGGGAAGCATCTCTACCATTCAGGAAATGACACACTTTCTATATAGAACTTAATAATAAGATGTAGCCGGGTGCGGTGGCTCAAGCCTGTAATCCCAGCACTTTGGAAGGCCGAGGCAGGATTACCTCAGCCCAGCAGGCTGAGGCTGCAGTGGTCATGAGCGTGCTATTGCACTCCAGCCTGGGCAACAGAGTGAGACTCTGACTCAAAAAAAAAAAATCAAAAAATTAGCTGGGCGTGGTAGTATGCACCTGTAGTTCGAGCTACTGGGAAGGTTGAGACAGAACAATCTCCTAAGCCTAGCTACAGTGGCCACGAGTGTGTCACTGCACTCCAGCCTGGGTTACAGAATGAGACTCCAACTCAAAAAAAAAAAAAAAGTTTTGAGGTATTATTCCTTCAAGGAGATGTGTTCAACATAATGCCACATGGAAATATCTAGGACAAATATTGCATGTGCAGAAGGAACAACTATGTGAAATATATGCATCCAAAAGTCTACATTGACCATTACATTCCAAAAGTCCATCATGCTGGCATGTCTTGGTGGATTATTCCTTTTCTGCATCAATTCCTACAAAGAAAAAATGTCTGCCTTGTTCATAGAACTGGAACGATTCATGGCTCGCGTCAATAGCAGCAGAAACAGGCCCCCACAATGTCAGACGAAACTTTAGCTTCTCTTCAGTAGTGAGGTCTAAGATTCCTGTGACATTAACAACAGACTTCTCAGGGTTGTACTTACAGATTCCTTCCTTTTAAAGTCAAAAAAGAAGAGTCTTGGTCACTACCATCTACCTCCTAGGTAACATGAGTTCTAGAACCAAAACAACTCATCAGCTTCTAGCTTAGGAGTTCCCAGTCAGTGCTATCGTGAATCATCCCAGGAACTGAAATGCTGTTAGTTGATTTGAAACTGAAAATTGGCTCTGGTCTCTTCAATGAGACTGCCTAGGTCTACCTGTTTGTAAGAAAGTTTTCACGGTGGAAAAACATGTAGGATATGAAGAATAGTTTGTATATTCTCCACGTTACACAGAAGCAAGAATAGCTGTGTGTTAACCATCAAATCAGGTAACTGCAAAGGAATAATTTATGAAGGCAGAACTGACAGTTCACAGATGTAGATTCTATCACCTAAAAGGTGAATTCTGAAGAGGTGTCTGTTATCTCTGACGTGATCCACATTCCAAAAGCAGAGCTGGAGAAGCACCATAAGGAGCCCCACTTACCTTTCCTGTGTATGGATAGGATGCCTCAGATTCCAAGCCTCCGTTCTCCTGTACATACTGGAAGGCATTATCCATCGTGCCACCACCACACCCAAAATTTCCTTGAGGCCTGGAGCAGTCCACTAGGTTCTGCTCACTCAGTGAGACAAGTTTGCCAGTTCTCAAGGACATCATTCCTTCAAGAGCACCGGTCGCACTAAAAGCCCAGCTTGAACCACATTTACCCTGAAAAGGGAATAAAAAAGTTTTCATCCACAAAACAAATAGCAGGACTTTGATAACAGCTCACATGTCTAAATTCTCTTTAGACAACAGTGAACCGCACGTGACAGTCTACCAAAACACAGATGTCAATTGCTTCTTGGCTTTCCTGTGGAGATAGATGGGCAGTCTGATTACCTGATCTGTCTTACCTGA